ACTCAGCGCACGACCACACGACCGATTCCAAGCCGAGCAGCATCCCAAGCCGAGCAGCATCCCAAGCCGAGCAGCGCCCTCACAACCAGCGCGGACACACAAGCAGCCCGCAGGCACTATGTTAATGATTTTTGCTGCTGACCTGCTAGACCCAATAGGCGATTCAAAATCACTTCGTAAAATCCATTGGAAAAATCCATCAATAAAAGGTGCCGGAATGCCATTCCGGTGCGTTCTATGACAAAAAAAGGCCTGGTTGTAAGAATAAACCTATACCTATAAAATAAATAAAGAGTTCAGCAGGGTGACTACCCAAAGGAGGGCCTTCTCTGTGATGGCGCCCAGACTGTGGAACACGCTCCCCGGAGAGGTTTGCCTGATACCAATGTGTCTTTCCTTTTGGCATTAGTCAAAACCCTTTTTATTCTCCCAATATTTTTATTGATCATTTGCTTTAATCAGTGGTTTTAGACTTAATATCAGATGTTGTGCTATTCCTACTCTTATTTCTATTTTTATTCTATTTTATTAATGGTGTTATAAGCCATCCCAAGATGTCTGTGATGAAACAGTATAGAAAGGTTTTAAACAAACAAACAAACAAACAAACCTGGGTGACTCTACCCTTCTCCACTTTGAAGGGGGGATGAGGGAAGGGTACAAATGTCTTGCTCCCATCACCCCATTTTTTCTGAACTCTTAAGTACCAATATCCTTGATCCTATTCTAGAGAATTCCCTATCTGTTATACTGCATGGCCTATGCAATGCCCTGCATGCGTGGATGCATCCAGACCCAGTACTGCATGGAGTAGGCACGTTGAACTCAATCACACTTGCGAGTCAGGACTAAATTTAAGTCAATGCATCTATTCTGCACATGAGTAGGTCTGGAGCTGTTGTATTGTCTTCCCCATATGTGTTATATCTGTGATTGTGTAAGCCTGGAACTCAGGAGAGCTAGTTTCTAATCCCTGCACAGCTCCTTGCGTGATTTCTGCCAGTCTTGGATCATGAGCCAGGTTAGGTTGAGCCTAGCCTACCTCGCAGGGTTGTCATGATGAGGATAAAATGTGGCCTTGCAAGCCACCTCGCGTTCCTTGCAAGAGGAAGAAAGTCTGGGTACAAATGTCTGGCTACAAATGAGAGCCAGTGTGGCGTAGTGGTGAAGAGCGTGGGACTGGGACTCAGATGATCTGGGTTCTAGTCCCCGCTCAGCCATGGAGCCAACTGGGTGACGTTGGGCCAGTCACAGACTCTCAGCCCAACCCTCCTCACTGGGTTGTTGTTGCGGGGATAAGATAGAGGAGGAGATGTAAGCTGCCTTGAGCCCTTTGTAGGAAAAAGGCAGGATATAAGTCGGAAAATAAATAAATAAAATGTAATAAAAACAATCACACTGCTTTCAAAAAAGAAATGAAATGCTTTAAACCTGGGGTGAAGCATTTTCTAAATGCCTTGGCCAACCATCCCCATCAGCCCTAGGCTAGGCAGCCTGGCCAATAATGGGTGGTGGCTGGAGCTGAACACAAAAGCAACCGGTCCCTTCCGTTCTCTTGGAAGGAGTGCTGGCTTTGGGTTCCTTGAAGGGATGCCAGGCCAGGTGGTCTTGGGGGAAGAGCGCTCTTTTTCAGCCATCCCTGGGAAGATCATTTGGCCGTGCCTGGAGTGGTGCGCCCATGACATGCCCCATAGTTCATCTGAGTGTTGTGAGCTGGGAGCACAGTGGGACATTCACGTGGTGCTACAACCAGGCATCTTCTGCTGCTCGGAGAGCTGGAGGGCGAGGTCAATGGAGAGGTCCCCAGGACAAAGCTAGATCGGGGGTGATGCTGAGGTGCTGCGTCCCTGGCAGCCGGCCAAAGGGGTCAGGCAGTGGCCCAGTCCAAAGGGCTCTTTGGTCCAACAGAGCAGGGTGCTTCTTCTCGACATGGGCCCAAGGGAACCATAAACTTGTCACCCCTTGGATAAGCTCTTGGCTTGACCTCGTAGACTCCTTGGACCAAAGAGTCTCTTTCAGTGCTGGCATCATATCCAAGGCCCAACAAGAGCAAAGAGAGAAGAGAGAGGAAGAGAGGGGAGAAGGGGGCAGATTGTTTCAGCAGCCTGAAATAAAGGGGGATACATGGAGAAATAAACAAATTCCAGCCTGGAAAAACATAGTGCCTTTTATATGGTAGCTATTACCCCTATTCCCCAGCTACAATGAAACAGAAGCATAAATTTGAACAGAACAGATGTATTACATGGAAATGCTTTAAAAATTATTAGCAACAGCTTTTGAATTAGTGGTAATAAAGTGATACCTGCAGCCTTGGACTTGTTTTGCAAATGCATTCGATAACAAAAGACCAAATAAAGCGTGTGGAGGCAGAGTGGAAAAAGCATTTAAAAGAGTATTCATGTGGCTTCTGCTGGGATGTGCACATACTTCAGTGTATCTGAGGGTCTGCTGACGGTGCCACCTTTTCATTTTCATTGCTTTAATATTTTTATTTTTTTAATTGACTGTCATGGTCCCCATACCAGGAAAACCTCCTTTGCTCAGTTTTTAAGAGCCAACTTGGACAAGACTGTGGGGGATTTGTGGTCGCAGTTTGCTTCTCTCCCCATAATCTCATGCTTTTCGAAAGGCAGGGGCACCCACTGGTGGCGTTCACTTGAGTGTCAGAAATGCTTTTCTCTGCACCTCTTCCCGGGTTGACATTTTGCTGAAAATCCCCCGGTTGGTGTCATCATTAAAAGTGGAATCTCCATTTTCATAGCAAGGATGTCAACCTGTTACTTGAGGACAAATAAGAATGGGTGTCACAGTTGTCTGACCAGCAGGCAGGTGGAGATAAGTAAGCTTCCCTCTGGCCTGGGATGTGTGTGTGTATCTGAAGCAAGTTCATTATGCTCTGTAATTATGAAAAGTAGCAGTCGTAGTAGTGATGGTTTCATTCCAGGAGAAGCCTATTCTGATGTGCTCAGCTGTTGTGCTCTGCTCTGATTTTGTTCTTGTTTGCTCTGCTGGCCTATTTGTTCTGCTTTACAGAAGCTGTTTATAACTCTCTAAAGTTTGCCAAACCCTTCACTTTCTGGATTGCTTTAGGAGATGCTTCTCCTAACTGGATACTTCCTGACAGTTAGGACCCCAAGGGTATGGGATGGACTTCCTCGGGAGGTGGCTGAGGCCCCATTGGTGAGCGTGTTCAAGGATAGGCTGGACATGCACATGGTGGGCGTGTCATGAGGAAAGCTGGCTGGAGTTGAAGGTCAGACTAGATGGCCCCGGAGGCCCCTTCTGACTCGCTCTGTTTCTATGTTTCTAACAGGATACTTCCTGAGGTCCATCATCAGGAATGCTTTTAAAATCCCATGCCCTTCTGAATGCTACTCTTAACAGCGCAGTCCTAATACCTAGACCGACAACAGTGTTTCTTCGCTGGCAGGCAGCAGCTTCTAGGGTGGATGTGGACAGTCTTCCTTGGCCATCTCTGGTACACCTTCAGAAAGCTCTGCAGGCATAGTTTGCATTTGTCGAGCTTCTTTCAGTGGGAAGGAGTTGAAAGGGCAGGAGCAATGCTGGCCTGGCAGTCCCCAGTATGCCTGCAGCCACATACCTAATAGATGCCAACCACAGCTTGCGTGTAGCCTGAAGTGCCTGGTCCTGCCTAGTCCTGGAAGCTAAGCAGGGTCAGGCCCGGTTGAAATCTGGATGGGTGACTTGAATGTTGCGAACCATCCAGAGAGCTTTGACCACGGGAGGTACAGAAATGTAATGTAATGATAAATAATACCTGCCACTGAATCTTTTCAAAGGCAGTAGTCTCCAAAACAGGAATATTCAGAAATGGGATGGAGGTAGCCTTGGATCCGGGGTCTCCATTGTTCTTTTGAGAGACCCAAGGGTTATGGATTTCAGCACGGAAGCAAAAGGAAGCAAAATCTGCAAGGGAAGACAGAATAACCACACACACACACACACCCCTGCTCACAACTTGCCCTGGCTGCCCTGAGCAAGCAGAGCTTTGGAAGAGGCACCGTCTGTCTCACCTAATTTCCCCAGCTCATGGCCATGCCCTTTAGTACTGGCTCAGGATTGGACCAGTTCAGGGAGATGTCTATCAAAACCCATGGACCTTGAAGGACAAATGGAGCCTCCATAGCACAGCATAGACACTTGGACATGGAGGAACCTCAGAGGAGGGGGTCGTCTTTGTGTATGCATGCGGAATTCCCAACATGTCCGGCAGACTCAGGGTGCCGGATGTGGTTGGACACTGGTCTTGATTACTCTGATCCAAGACTTGCTCCCCTGCAGATTTGCATGCTCAAAATCCATGCCTCAAGTGCTCCCCACCCTGAGCCAGGACCTGAGCCAATGTGGCGCCGGCCACACGGGGGAGTCTCCCTGATAAGCCCGGTGCCTTTTTTAAATTAACCCAAATGCTGTCACCGTTCCTAAGAAAATCCAGATCGTGTGCAGCTCCTGTGCGCGGAAGCTCAAAACAGAATTGGTAGCTGAAGGTAATGGCTGAATAATTACCCTTGCAAGGTACCGCACGTACCCTGGGGATCCCTGCGAAGCCCAGCCCTGGCCGGTTGTTTCTGACCTGCAGGGGAAAAGCAAGCATGACATGATGTAACCCTTTGTGCCAAAATTATGGGGGCACATGGACTTGCTTTTAAGCCCGACCTGTTAGGGGTCTGTTCAGTCAGGGCAGCCGTGCTCCCAGACGAATTATTAGCCAGCATCACATCAGCCAACCTTTCTCTTGATTGACTCGGGATCCAAGGCCTTAGAGCGAAACAGCGGCGTGCCTCTTCCCCTGATTTCCCATCGCCAATGCAGGGTTCAGGGCACTGGGCCTTGCGTGGCATCTCTCTGCCTTATAATAGATGGCTCTGTGTACTGGCTAGCAGTATCCAATTATTCACTGCAATCTCGGGGGGGGGTGGGGGGGGGGGAGGGGGAAGAGCGAGAGGGAAAGAAGGAAGAGAGGGCGGAAGAGAAAGTTGCTGTGTTCATTACGGCTTGGCCTTAAGAAAATGCGCCCGTCAATCCATCAGGAATGAATTTTGTTCTCTAATATTAATGTTTAAGGCGATGCTCTTCTGGCGTATTGATTCTCCATAGGCAGGAGGACGCTGGAAAGGAAACAATTTTCAAAATGTAGTTTTCAGTTTCTTTAATATTGTAGTTCATCTTATGGCAGAAAATGGCTTTTTGCCTTCTGTCCAATATGTGTATGTGTGTGTGTGTGTGTGTGAAAGAGGGAAAGAGGGAGAAAGACACACATGCACAGACAGAAGGAGAGAATGAGTCAGACCCACGAGAAAAAAGAGGAACGACAAGAAAGATTGTGGACTAATTGGAAAGGCAGTAAAATACCTTCTGTGCCATAAAGTCTGTCCGTCCTTATTCCTCTCCTGATCCAGTGATGCAAGAAGGCAAGAACCTGCCGCAGTGCTGTTGGGGATAATGGATAATGCTTGGAGGACTCTTCTCATGGGACTGCCTCACCCCATCAGGACAGGGCTGTAGTTCAGGGGCAGGCCACATACCTAGTGCACAGATAGTCCTGGTTTTCACCCTGAGACTTCTCAGGTAGGACCAGGTGAGTCCTTATTGAAACAACCCCAAACTATATGGATCCAGGAGTGCTGAGGAGTGGTCTCCCCTGAGGATTCTTTTTTTAATGGATGTGCCCAATCTGCACTTCCCAAACCTTTCAGGGGACTACCTGTACACCCTCAATCTGACACTTGTTTCCTACTCAGGGGAATGCACGCCAAGTCTGAAGTGGCAGGATCTCCAAATGCAGAGCATGCCTGTTTCCAGCTTATCCAAAATGGGAAAATACCAACTGAAGCAGGATTCTTCCAGCCCTGGGTACGTGAAAATCAGCAAACTTCAAACTCATGAAGATTGTTGCAAGAGTAGTCCAAAGCTGATTTTGACTTGGGTCTGCCCCATGTGGTGAGCTGACTAGGTTGCACTTGGGAATGTGTTTGGGTCTCTCAGGTGTGGTCTAGATAAACCAAGCTGAAATTATGTGCAAACATGCGCGGGTGCACACACACACACAGAAACACACAGATATGGAGACAGTGACACACGCATTGGTGACTTCCCGCCTTGACTTCTGTAACACGCTCTACGTGGGGCTGCCCTTGAAGGCAGTCCAGATACTTCAATTGGTTCAAAATAGAGCTGCCAGGCTGCTGACGGGGACCGGGCGTTATGTTCACATGACTCCAGTTCCCCGTCAGCTTCACTGGCTCCCCATTGAAGTCTGGGCCCAATTCAAGGTGTTGGTTATGACCTATAAAGCCCTAAACGGCTTGGGTCCTGGTTACCTAAAGGAGCGCTTACGTCCATAGGTTCCTGCTCGCTCCTTGAGTTCAGCAGGAGAGGCCCTTCTCCAGGAACCCTCAGTGAAGGATATTAGGAGGGTAGGTACTCGGAGGAGGGCCTTCTCTGCAGTGGCGCCCAATCTATGGAATGCACTCCCCAGAGAGGTCTGCCTGGCGCCATCGTTATTTGTTTTTCGGCGCCAGGCCAAGACCTTTTTATTTAAACATCATTTTAATTGTTAATATTATTTATTTATTGATTGATTTTACATCTTTGGCCAGGACGGCTCCAATTATATTGTTTTTATATTGTTATTGTTGTTATTTATTGTTATTTATTGCTGTGAGCCGCCCCGAGGCTTCAGCAAATGGGGTGGCATAGACGTTTCCTAAATAAATAAATAAAATATGTGAAGAATCCATTTTGGGGGTGGGAATCCATTGGATTCTGTGGGTTCGGCCCCCCCAGATGCTGGCCTGCTTCCTTGTGACCATGGACCTGGCAACCATGCCAGGCATTTGTGCAACCATGTGCCAGCAGGACCCATCTTCCTTGCACGTGGTCGGCAGCCCTTGTGAGTAGAAGAAGGCCACCAGTTTTCCAGCAGATGTTTGCGACTATCTGCAGACTTCCTCTTGGCTCAGTGCACTTCCTAAATGAGGGCTGGATCAAGAAGAATTCTGATGGACAGAAGAGGGACAGTTTCCAAGGAGGATCATCACAGCCCGACAGATACACACACACAAGTCACTAGTCAATCTGGTTCAGAGTCCAGAATGCTGAGGCCAAGGCAGGGTTGCCAAGGGGCCGCCAAGACACAACCTTATGGCTTCCCAGCATGATTGGAGATGGTCACGGTGTTGGATCATGGTGCCTGCTCTGGGGTCTCAGAACCCCTCACCCCTCTCAGCTGCCATGGAAAGATGTGTGCTGACTGCCTGGGAGACTGGCTCAGAGGAGGCTCTGCTGGGGAGATGGGGAGGGGAGGAAGCTGGGATTGATGGATGATGCTGTAAACAAAGAGCCCCTTCCCTGCCTCCTTCCTTCCAGCTCTGCAGCACTTCATCTAGCCCTCTAACCATGGCCATCACAATGGAATGCTGGGTGCAAGGTCCAGAGAGGTGGAAATGACTCCTTCTGCACCTCATAGAAACATAGAAACAGAGTGAGTCAGAAGGAGCCTCCCGGGTCATCTAGTCTGACCCCTGGCTCCAGCTGGCTCTGCTCATGACATGCCCGCCATGTGCATGTCCAGCCTATCCTTAAGCACCCTCACTGATGGGGCTTCAGTCACCTCCCATGTACGCCCATTCCATACCCTAGGGGCCCTAACTATGAGGAAGTACTTCCTGGCATCCACCCTAAATCTTGGTTCCCTGAGCTTTGCTCTATTGGAACACATCCTGCCCTCCCCTGCAGGGGAAAAGAGGTCATGACCCACCTCTGCGTGGCACCCCCTCACATGTCGCTAACAGGTCTCCTCCTCTCAAGGCTGAAAAGACCCAGTTCCCCCAGTCTCTCCTCATATGGCTTCCCCTGCAAACCGGCCACCAAGCTTGTGGCTCTGCGCTGCACTGATTCCAACCTTGCCATATCCATCTTGTAATGAGGGGCCCAGAACTGAGCACAATACTCCAGCTGTGGGCGCACCAGAGTCGTATAGAGTGGTAGTAATACCTCTCTTGATCTACACCCAGTCCACATAGCCTCCATGTTCAGAGGGGCTGGGGCTAAGGACAAGGGACCTTCCTCCTCAGGAGCTTATGGAGGGGTCAGATCTTAACCGTGAAGTTCCTGAACTGCAGCTCAGTCCCTTGAGCTGCTACATCACCATGTTACGGGAAGAGTGGAATTTTCCACATGAAATGGGGGGCAGAGAAGCATGAGATGAGCAAGTTAAAATCATGCCAGAGATGTCTCATTCATCAGGAAGACTCGGGAGAGAGTGCCCGTTTGCCCAGTCCATGTTTACTTATATACAGAAGGTTTCCGAACACAATCTTCCAGAAAACAATGTGATTAAAAGTGGAGTAACTGACAGACAGCTGTCTTCCTTAACCAATAAAGAGACTGAGGTGATAAAAATTGAATATACCATGTTTATAAACCCTAGTAAAACTAGATCTAAATGACATCTTTTTTGTAAGGAGGAAATAGAGGGTGGGGGAGGGAGAGAGAGAGAGGGAGAGAGAGAAGTTTATTTATAAACTGTTTCCACACTCAATAAAAGTCTGAAGGCTAAAAGCGTGAAAAGCCTTCTGGAGAAAGAAACATGCAGGGCATAAACTTGTGCATTTAGGAGGCAATGCCCCCAGACCTCTTGTCCGGTTCCCAGAGCTCAGCCAATGGCGGGCATCTCGGTAGGAGGGTGTTCTGAAGCTTCACATGCAATCTGCAGTACGCCAGAAATTCTGGGCTCATCGAGGAGGAAGAAAAAAGAGAGAAGGAACGAGAAACAAAAACAGGAATGAAGAACGGGTGGGGGGATGCAACGCGATGCAGTGTTTGTGCCACTTATATAATGCATGAGAGAAATACGATAGAAGTAGTGAGACTAGTTTAGCAAGGGAACTTTTTTTCCTGGAGGAAATGTTCCATAAGAGTCAAACGCCACTTCTGAGAGAGAGAAACTAAAGATGCACAAGATTTTCATTTTGCCTTTTTAAAAAAAATTCAAATTTGCCTGGCTTGTACAGGAAAACACTTTTGAACAATCCGTATTCTTGCTTTTGTTGTTTCAGCTGTGGCTCTCGTAATGATCTTCAGTTTGTAATATATGCTACCATCATAAGCTGCCAAAATTCATATTCCAAATCTGAATATTATTATAGAACGTTGGTAGGCTTATTTGTTCGAAGAATACCTTTCCATGGAAGAAGCTCCACGTAATTGGACCTGGCATTATTTCCGCAGAAAATCACAGACACAATCTCTCTCTCACACACACAATCACATCAGGAAATAGCTAAGCCAAGGCACCCTTTGGATCAGATGTTCTTCTGGTCTCTATGTTTCTCTCTCTCTTTTGAGTAAGGAGCTAACAGAACAGATGGGGTTTCAAGGGACAAGCTTGCCCACTTTAGACAACTGTCATGTGATAGTACCAGTTTTCACCCTGTTAAGGACCATTCCCATCTCTGGAAAGAAGAGCAGTAGAGTGGCAGAACAGGGCAAAGAGCTATCATAGAAATATAGAAACAGAGTGAGTCAGAAGGGGCCTCCAGGGCCATCTAGTCTGACCCCTGGCTCCAGCCGGCTCCGCTCACGACATGCCCACCATGTGGACGTCCAGCCTGTCCTTGGACACCCGCACCGATGGGGCCTCAACCACCTCTCGTGGAAGCCCATTCCACACCCTCGGGGTCCTGACTGTCAGGAAGTGCTTCCTGGCATCCAAATGGAACCTTGGCTCCCTGAGCTTTGCTCTGTTGGGGTGCGTCCTGCCTTCCTCTGCAGGGGAGAACAGGTCTCGACCCACCTCCATGTGACACCCCCTCACACACCTGTATGTCGCCAACAGATCCCCTCTGAGTCTCCTCTTCTCCAGGCTGAAGAGACCCAGTTCCCCAACTGGGGACAGAAACTATGGCAGGAAGTGGTGATGTTTGCTTTCTCCTTAGAGGCAAGCATGGGAGGGAAACATAATGAAGGGCCCGACCATATTGGTTTTTCTTTGCTTTATTTACAGTGCAATCCTAGGAATGCTTAGTGAGGGAAGTCCCACTGAGTTTAATATTACTCAGTCCCAAAGAAGTTGCAATCCTGCATGTTTGGGGTGCAGCGGGAGCAAAGTGCGGATCATCCACTATTTCCAAAGCTCAGTAGCTTCTGTCAGCCCAGGCAGGAAGTAGAGGTAGCAACTTTACTAGGCATTTTAGTTGGATGAAACTTATTTTGTGGTTGTTCATGCTGTGCTGACGGGGTAGACCCTAGACTTGACAAGTCTGCTTCTGAATTGCCACTGGAAGACTCTACTTGCAAGCCTAACTCCACTGGTAGATTTCCATCAAGGCAACATTGCATGGGTGCAATGCAGACCCCTATGGCAAATCTAGACAGCACACTAAAAAGCAGAGACATCACCCTGCCGACAAAAGTGCGCATAGTCAAGGCGATGGTTTTCCCAGTTGCAATGTATGGCTGTGAAAGCTGGACCATAAGGAAGGCTGAGCACCAAAGGATTGAGGCCTTTGAATTGTGGTGCTGGAGGAGACTCCTGTGAGTCCCTTGGACCGCAAGGCGATCAAACTGGTCAGTCCTGGAGGAGATCCACCCTGGCTGCTCTTTGGAAGGCCAGGTACTGGAGATGAAACTCAAATACTTTGGCCACCTGATGAGAAGGAAGGACTCCCTGGAGAAGAGCCTGAACCTAGCAATGATTGATGGCAAATGGAAAAGGGGACGGCAGAGGATGAGGTGGCTAAATGGAGTCACTGGGGAGGTGGGTGTGGGCTTAGGTGGACTCTGAGGGATGGTGGAGGACAGGAGAGCCAGGAGGAATGTTGTCCATGGGGTCGCGATGGGTTGGGCTTGACTTTGCAACTAAACAAACGAAAATGCAGACCTCCAATGCCAAGCAGACCCTTCTGAGGCTGCCCAAAGAGATTTACTTTATTCTGTCTCTGTGTGTGGGAACTCCTGACCTTTTAGAAAATAGACTCCCTTTTTCAAACACAGAGGGTGCCAGAGAACCAACCTTAACACAAGAAGAGAAGCCTCAGAGGTGAAATAATGGTTGCCATGTGCATTTCCGAAGTCCACACACCAGGAAACACAGGGAAGGCCTCCTTGGGGTATTGTGCCAAAATCAGGCCACCTTTACTGAAAAAAGACTCCTGCACAGATGCCATGAATGTAGCCTCTAAGAGTTATGCTCCTAGAAGAGGGCATCTGATGGGCTTTATCAATAGAGATGTTTCTGCGAAAAAGGCAATTTCTTACAGGTCCCATGCAATGTAGGTTTTTAAGAGTAGCACACATGTAACACACATACACAAATTAGAAACATAGAAACAGAGTGAGTCAGAAGGGGTCTTCCAGGACATCTAGTCTGACCCCCAGCTCCAGCTGGCTATGCTCAAGACATGCCTACCATGTGCATGTCCAGCCCATCCTTGAACATCCTCACCAATGGGGCCTCAACCACCTCTTGTGGAAGCCCATTCCATACCGTAGGAGTCCTAACCTTCAGGAAGTGCTTCCTGGCATCCAACTGGAATCTCGGTGCCTTGAGCTTGGCTGCATTGGAAGTTCACTGTGTCTAAAAGGAAATTGAGTCAAGAGTAGCTAAAAGATTCCTGACCGATCAGACCAGTGGTGCACCTGGCCGGGCATCCTGTTTCTCATGAAGGCCTCTTCACGATGTGCCACTGCTTCTCCCCACAAGCTAGTTTCCAGTGGAGTAGCACCCCTGGACTTTAAGGGGGCACGTGGCCATCTCAGCTCCTAGCTCTGTCCTTCCACACATAACCAGAGATCACATCAGCTTCCTGAAAGAAGCTTCTTGACTGACTTCAAATCCTGTCATTTTGAACCGCACTCTTACAAACCCTAGACATTACTGATGGTTCTTTCCATGGAGGATTAATTGCACAAACACACAAACACACATTTAAGAATCACACATTTTATCACAGTTGATACTGTAGCTCGCTGGCAAACCTATTTCCCATTAGACGCTGGAGTGCAAATGGCCACGCTGAACTCCTGATTGCTTACATTTTGAAAGCATTGCAGGCCAAGAAACCCACAACCCTAAGCATGAGTGTTACTGAACCTTGTGGTTTTCTGCATACCCCAAATTCCCCAGGAGGCACAGCCAAGCAAGTCTCTGGGATTTTGGGTTAATTCCTTTTAAAGCACACTGCTTTAAAAGGTGTGAGAGGGTTGGAGAGTGAAGCCAACTAGGAGGAAATATGTGCTGCTGTTGGCCAGAACAACTCAGTTCGCGATCAAGGGAGACCCCCTTTGTGCATTGTCTGCTTTCTATGCAAATGGCGATTGATTAACAGAGAGATCACTGCAAGCATTTCTGGAAATGCAACAAAGTGAAATATATGTTATTTTGCTGGTTGCTCACCATCCCTTTTTAAAAATGAAGTACCAAGAGAGGACCTGTATGGAGAAGGCCCTCAGTTCAGTTCTAACACTTCCGGTTGAAAAAATCGCAGATGGCAAGAGTGTGAAGCCCCTGTCTTGATTACTTTGGAGATCCACTTCTAGCAAGAGCTGGCAATCCTGGAACCGATGAACTAATGATGCAACTTATGCAAGGCATCTTCATATTTCCAGAGGACTCTTCAGACACCTTCAAGCAGCATGGGGCCAACCATTTACCTGGATGGATTCTCTGATTAGAAGAGGGGGCTGAAGGCACTCAGTATAGGTGTGAAACGGCTCACTTTCTTCTACAGGTGGAATTCCTGTCTTGCAGCACTTCCAAAAAGGGATCACTGCCAGCTTCCCATCATGCATCTGCTCTGAATGCCACCACCATTCAGTGTATCTGCAAAAACAGCTGTGGCAAGGCCATATTCAAATCCACAAATCTTTGCATCAGTAGGATGAGGTTTTGCAGATAATGAACCACACGAATTCTTACTCATCAGTATTTAGAGCCGGTGTGTTAGAATGGTTAAGAGTGAGGATGGGACTCGGGCAATCCGGATTTGAGTCCCCGCTCGGCCATGGAGCTCACTGGGTGACTTTGGGCCCCCCACAGTCTCTTGTCCTAACCTATCTTTTAGGGTTGTTGTCGTGAGGATATATAGACAGGAGGAGACCTTTGAAAGCCACCTTGAGCTCCTTGAGATGAAAAACAG